CATGTCTCCCTCCCCCCCTCTCTTTTTCTCCCTTTCCCTCTCTCTCTGTTCCTCCTCTCTTTCCTCTCTCCTTTTTTCTCTTCCTATCTCTCCCTCCTTCTCTCTCTCCCTTTTTCTCCCTTTCCCTCTCTCTCTGTTCCTCCTCTCTTTCCTCTCTCCTTTTTTCTCTTCCCATCTCTCCCTCCTTCTCTCTCCCTTTTTCTCCCTTTCCGTCTCTCTGTTCTTCCTCTCTTTCCTCTCTCCTTTTTTCTCTTCCTATCTCTCCCTCCTTCTCTCTCTCCCTTTTTCTCCCTTTCCCTCTCTCTGTTCCTCCTCTCTTTCCTCTCTCCTTTTTCTCTTCCCATCTCTCCCTCCCCCCCTTTTTCTCCCTTTCCCTCTCTCTCTCTTCCTCCTCTCTTTCCTCTCTCCCTCCTTCTCTCTCTCCCTTTTTCTCCCTTTCCCTCTCTCTCTCTTCCTTCTGTCTTTCCTCTCTCCTTTTTTCTCTTCCCATCTCTCCCTCCCTCTCTCTCTCCCTCCTCTCCTCATCCTTTTCCCTGTGCACAGCACTGATTAGGGTTGGGTGATAGCTAGGGAAGGGAGAAGCCAAGAAGGGGCCCCCCATGTCCTTTAGTGGAAGAGGCTGAAGGTATGAGGGGCCAAGCCAGGTCTATTTGTTTCCCTTCTGCTGAAAGGCTAATGTCTTCCCCCTCCAGGGACCCTGAGTTTGTCTTCTATGACCAGCTGAAGCAGGTGATGAATGCCTACAGGTAGGTGAGGTCTTGGTGGTGTGTGGGGTGGGTGGGTGTGTGTGTGTGTGTCTGTCTGTCTGTGTGTCTGTCTGTCTGTCTGTCTGTCTGTCTGTCTGAATGGGTGTCTCCAAGCCTGCTTCCAGCCGGCACTGGCTCTTTTGTTGACTTGAGCTGGCTTCCTTTCCTTTCCTTCAGGGTCAAGCCAGCCATCTTTGATCTACTCCTGGCCCTCTGCATAGGAGCCTACTTGGGAGTGGCTTACTTTGCAGTCCAGGTGAGTTGGGGGAGGGAGAAGAGGGGATAAGAGGGGAGGGCGAGCCCAGGGCTTTCTTTGGCCAATTTGCACCTCCCTTGACACCCACAGCAGCCCTATGAGGTAAGCACTCTGAGTTCTACTATCCCCATTGACAGATGAGGAGATTGAAGCCTGGTGTTTCAGTAACTTGCTTCTCACCACACAAACTACTCATTGTTCAGGTGGGATGAAGAAGCTGGGTCTGCCTTTCTCCTCAGGCTGGCCATGGAGGCAGAGAAGAACAGGGCTGCAGGGGCTTTCCTCGCCTCATTCCCACCATGCAGCGTGGTGTTCAGACAGATGCCGTGGCTCAGGGAGAGATGGCAGAGAGCATGGCGTTTAACCAGCCTGGCTTTGGGCTCACCATCTCTTGGTACCTTCTGAGGACAGAGGCCTGTCCTGGGAGAGGTGCGGCTCTGACATAATCAACAAGCTTTTGTTATGTACCTATCAGACATGACATACATAGTCCTGCCTTCATGGAGCTCATAGTCTAGTGGGGGGCTGCGGAAGGGAGATAAGACATTGACACAGACCACTGTAATACATGATATTACATGATAAATATACAAAGAGGTACAGAAAAAGTACCAGGTATGGTCCAAAGGGCAGGCAATCCAGGAAGGCTGCTTGGAAGAGTTGGCATTAAAAAATGAGAAGGATGAGGAAGAATGGCATAGGAAGAAGTGGGGGATGGCCCAGGGGAGGAAATTACCCAGTTTGGCTGCGGCCTTGAGATTGCGGAGGGGAGATATGGGTGCTAAGACTGAGAAGGTGCAGCGTGGCATCAGATTGGGGAGGGCCTCAAATGCCAGGTGGAGAAACTCTAGAGATGTAAAGGTAGCAGGGGGAGTGGAAGGAGGCAGCCTGAATTTGGAGTTAGGGGGCTTGGGCTTCGGGCCCAGGCTCTGCCTTGCACTCGACCAGCTCTTTGGAATGCCCTCCCTCCACACCTCTGCCTCGGGATTCCTTCCGCATTCGTTTCCAATGCCGCCTCCCCCACTCTGAGATCACCTTCCACGTGTCTGTATATGCCTCCCCCACTGGGCAAGCTCCGTGAGGGCAAGGGCTGCCTTTTCTCTGCATCTCCATTTCCTGGCACATGGGAGATGCTTAATAAATGCTTGTCGGTTGATCTGTCCAGTGAGGGGCTTGGAGTAGCTGAGGCCTAAGGTCCCGTCTGGGACTTTGGCTGCTGCCCTCTCTCTAGCTGTGTTTGGGGGATTCTAGCAGCAGGTGGAGGATGGCCTGGAAGGGGGAAGTAGTAGCTACTTGGCCTTCCCGATTGGAGGGCAGGAGGGTCTGCTCATGTCTGGGCTCTGTGTGACTCTGGACAGGTCCCTCCCCTTCCAGGCCTCGGTTTCCCCTTCTGTAAAATGAAGGGATTGGGCTTGATCCTCCGGCCCGATTCTGAGATGTGGACTTAGCAGTTGTCCCTTCTGTCCTAGCACTTTGGCCTCCTCTATAAGACAGTACAGAGAATATCTTTGAAGCTGAAGCAGCAGTGAAGTGGCCCTCTCTACCCTCGCCAAGCAGTACTGAGCCAGCCGCCCTGGAGGGAGCAGCCAGGAGCTTCCCTGCAGTCCAGCCACGTCTCTGCCCATTTGTCCCCCGCCCACCCCTGTCCAGCTCGGCCCTGCCTAGAGAACCTCCCAGGCCCGCCTTCTTGCCTCCTGCCTGCCTGCCCGCCCCATCACTGGCGAAGCAGCTCGGGCCCGAGGCCTTGCCGAAACACTGAATTGTCGGTGTCCTTAAGCTTCCTCGGAGGGTAGCGGAGGAGCTTGGGCCCGCCAGGGACTCGTGGGTGAGGCTTGTCCTGGGTGAGCTGAGCTCTCCCCCTCGGACCTGCCATGCCCCAGCCCTCGGAGCTCATGTTAACAGTGCACACCTGAATTAAAGAGAACCGGAAACTTGAGGACTCCTTCCCAGGCCGGGGGTCCTGGCTGGGCTTTCTCTCTGCCTTCACTTGGAAGGTCTGGGTGCCCAGGGATGGGGTCAGGGCAGAGGCCTCTGCCTGAGGGCCACCAGGGAGAAGACTTTGATTAAGACTTAGGGAATGGGGTGAGAGCGTAGTCAAAACATCCTAAGGCACCAGCCGTGTCCTAGTGGCCCTAGAGACCTAGCAGCACAGGGGCGTGTGATGGGGAGACAGGCTTTGGGTTAGTAGAAGGAAGGACCCCCAGTACTGGGAGCCTGGCAGAGGTGGAATGGGCTGCCTTGGGAGGTTGGGAGTCACGTGCCCCAGGAGGTCCAGTGACCACTCCAGCATTCTGCGGGAAGCTCCCCTGCAACGAGGCTTCGGGCCTTCTCTAGCTCTGAGGCCCCACCTTTCCTGCTTCCCCCGACAGCGCCTCTGTGGGAGGGGGCTCTGCCTCCAAGAGAGCACAGCCAAAGGCAAGCACCTAACATGGAGGCGTGCCATCTCTGCCCCTCTGCAGCCCTGGTGGGAGAGCTGGGCTCCGTCCTGGGGAACCAGACCTTTGTTCCTGAGCTCCGGCGGCAGCCGCGGCAGAGGGGGCTGGGACTGTTGGGACGCCCGGGCTCTAGCTCCAGTCTGGCCGTCGTCTCCATGTTTCCAAACCCCAGTCTCCTCTACAATGAGGGAATTGGACTAGATGACCTCTTAGATACCTTTCAGCTCTGACCTCCCGGGTTTTTCGCTCCCATCTTTCTGCTCCTAGGAGGTTCCTTCCTCTGTGACACATGGGAGAGAGGAATGTTCAGCCTGTCACAGGGAAGACAGCCCCAGAAAATGGCATCTCTGTTTTCAAATAACTGAGCCCCAGGCCAGAGGCATTGGATATATTTTGTGTCTCAGAAGGGGGGCCACTAGGTGGATGTCACAGAGAGGCAGATTGTGATAGTGACTGCCCAGGAAGCGTTTTGAGCAGAAGCCGGTGCCCGCCCTTTAGGAGGCTTTGGAAGGAGTTCATGCATGGGGTTTGGAGGGGTGGGGTCATTGCCTTCCACTTCTCAAGTACCCCGAGTCCTTTCTCTCCCACCGGTTTGGCTCCTACTTTGTGGTGCCTGCACCCCATGCATCCAGATTGGGCCCTTGTGTACAGGTTGACCTATGGGGTCTGTTTGTTTGGGGAAAGGATGTTCCAGACAAGTTTTGGGGGCCTAGCTAGTCAGTTGAAGGCTTTAGACCTGCTCATCAAACTGGTTCTGCTGGTTTTTACTGAATAAATAGCCGAGATGGGTGGTCTCTGCCTTGAAAGAGCTTGGGTTTAATTGGGAGTCTCAGCACACAATGGATTATATTGGGAGGTCAGAGGAAGGTCAAGGTTGGCTGCAGTCATCTGGGCTTGGAGCTAGGTCTTGAAAACCAGACCAAGGATGCTTGAGGGTGGGGTTGAGACCAGTCCTCACCGTCGCCCACCTCCATGCTCAGGGCAGAAGCACGTTTAGATGACCCCAGAGGGTCTAGCACAAAGTTTGGCACCATCTTGTGCCATCAGACGCTGCCTCCGTTTTTCTGCTTCCACGGCTAGGGAGAGGAGTGTGGGTAGTGGATTTTTCCATCTGGCTTTCCTGCCCTTCACCCCAACTCTGACCAGCCAGCCCTTCAGCTGCTGAGCTCGGGCTGGGGTCACTGCACAGCTGCTGTGGACAACAGTTCCCATGTTCCTGAACTCATGCCACCCACCACGCTCCGTCCTGAAGGTGTCTCTTCACTGTTCCCCTGCTTATGGGTGGGACTGTTAGCTCTCCTCAGGCCCTTGGTCCTTGGCGGCCTTTCCTACCGTAGCCCCCTGCCTGGCCTTGTCAGAACCTCAGGCTGCCCTTGGGTGACTGGCATTACAGCTCAGCCTAGTGGGGGGAGCCTGGGTGGAGCTGGGAAGTCCAGAGGGTGAAGGCCCTTCTGCACACTGGACCTCGGCTTCTTCCCAAATGAATGCACGATCTCTCGGGCCCCTTCCAACTGTGACAGGCAGTGTTTTCATCTCTGAGATGCGATTTCTGGGAGAGGATTTGAGGGGAGCAATGGGATAGGAGGGGCTACCATGTTTCCTATCATACTCTTGGATCCCTCCTTTAAAACACCCTTTACACCGGTTCCTCTGGGAGCGGAATGGGCCCTCTCTTCTGGAAGTCTTTGACCCATTCTGTCTTCCTGGGCCTCTCCACACAGAGGCTGAACCCAGCTCCCAAGGCAGGGTTTGGGGGTTTAAATGAGCACCGATGTGTTTGGGCTAAGGAATCTTCCTCCTGGGGGTGATCGGTAAGGGCAATAGATGGATTAATTCAGGGTCCCTGCAAACTGTGGGAAGAAGTAACTTGGAAAAATAAAGCCATATTGAAAGAGCCTCCTGTTGAGTCATGTTTTAGAGGCCGATGATTCTGGGCCCTTCTTTTGTGTCACGGATCCTTTGGGCAGCTGAGGAGTGCAGTGGATAGAGTGTGGCAGTCAGGAAGGCTCGGGTCGGAATCCTGCCTCAGACACTTGCTGTTTTACCTGGGCAGATCACTTTAGCCTGTTACTCTGTGTTTTCCCCCCTTATCCAAGTTTATGGGCTCCATAAAATCTTTGCACAAATCCCTTTGTGTTTGTGAACTCCAGATTAAGAACCCTTGGTCTAGAGGGACTTAATGCTGCCTCCTGGGATCTTATCCCTGCTTAAGGTGGGGAGAAAAAAGGTTGTGGAAGTCGGAGTTTTGGCATAAGGTGAATCCATAGCCTCAAATCCAGATCGCCTAACTTAACCAAACAGCTTAGTGCTTCCTCCCAGAGCCAGGCCTCTACTCCACAGATGGAGCTGGAGGAGAGAGGGTGGACGAGGTGACTCGTCCTCAAACTCCCTGCAACGCACAGTTGGCTGTTGGGAATTTCACATTTGGAGGAGAAAGGGGCCTGTCACAGTGTGACTGATGGGGAAATTGGAGGTTTTTTAAATCACCTGTCCCCCAGTTCTTCGCCCTTTCTCAAGGCAGGCCGTAACACAGCCTGGAGTGAGCAGCGCCCAGCTCTGCAATGCAGGTGGAGTAAGTGGGAGGGTTACCTACCTCCTCTGAGGTTTATTTGAGTAGCTGCCATCCTCACTCAGCAGCATTCAGCTGAGCCCTGGGAATCGGCCTTCTCTCTTCTGTTGTTGCAGCTCTGAAAGCTTGGCGGCTATTTAGTAAGAGGAAACACCAGGGCATCCTGATCCTCAATTGAGTTCCCTCCCGAGAGCTTTACTAATGATAAAGGGTGGAGGACCCGGCAGGAATCGGGCCTGAAGCTAAGCAGTTGTTCAGGAGAAAGGAAAGGGCGGGACACTTGGAATCAGAAAGAATGGGTTTTCTGATGGGCTCTGTGGCGCAGTGGGCAAATCACTCGGCTCCCTCTGAGCCAGCTGCCAAATGGACCTGAAGCAGGTTGTACAAGTCATACTGACCTTGTAGTTGGAGGAGTTCTGGGCGTAGTGAGTAGAGCACTGGGCCTGGAGTCAGGAAGACCTGAGTTCAAATCCAGCCTCAGACACTAGCTGTGTGACCCTGGGCAAGTCACTTCATCCCGTTTGCTTCAGTTTCCTTATCTCTAAAATGATCTGGAGAAGGAGATGGCAAAACCAGTATCTTTGCCAAGAAAATCCCAAATGGGGTTGGACACAACTGAACATCATCATCAACATCATCATCATCATTGCGGTTTGGCCAATTAATGTCTGGATGCCTTCCTCCCCCCCCCCCCCCCCCCAGCAAGTCACTTAACCTTTCAATTCAACAAACATTTATTAAACACCTACTACGTGCAAGACACTGTCAAGCCATGCAAAATAGAAACAGTCCCTTGCCTTAAGGGGCTTATGATCAACTGGGCAGGGGTGGGGTGGGGGTGAGAATATATAACACCTGCTGCCTGTTCTCTCCATTGTCCTCAATGCTGCCCATCCCCCCCCCCCCCCCAGTGTCCTAATCCAGAACTGCCCACGCCTTCCACTGTGCTCTCTGGAGCTCTTGCTCTATAATGAACAAATTTCTGTTTGTGCCAGACTTATTTCATCTTTTAGCACTCGCCTGAGACCCAGCTCCTCTGGGGTTACAGTCAATTGTTTGTTCCATCCTTGGTCCGGAAGGCAAAGGTAGAATACATCTTGCCTCCCCCTGTCCCCATTGCCACATCTAGACTTTTCCCACTATTGCCAGCACTCAGAAACCTCTTCCTTGAGTCTCACTGAATCTAGCAGTGTCCTGATGATTTATCTGCCCACTCCCCAGGATAATCTCCCTCCTTTCTCAGTGAGTACCTGCCATGCAGTCCTTCTCTTTCAACTCCCGTCTTCTTACTAAGGAAGGGGCCGTCTCCAGCCATCCCAATCTATATGTCACCACTGGACCCAGATGGCTCTGGAGGAGAAGGTGAGTCTGGTGACTTTGCACAGCCCTGCCTCACTTAAATCCAATTCACTTGCATGTCTCGGCATCACTTCCCTGATGTCATGGTCCTCTTTGAGAAGGGACAAACAACAACAGTCCTGCTAAGGAGGAAGGAAACAAGCATTTATTAAGTACCTACTGTCTGCCAGGCACTGTGCCAAATAAAAGTGCTACTCTTAAAAAGAACAAAAGCACTCTGTGTTTGATCCTCGCTACACACCCTGGGAGGTATAGGTGCTGTTATTTCCCCCCATTTTATAGTTGAGGAAACCAAGGTAGAGGTCACTTGCCCAGTGTATCAGTCTGGATTTGAATCCAGGCCCAGTGTGCTATCTTTACTGTGCCACCTAGCTGCCCAACACATTGATGTTCCCTCCCAGTTCCTCAGTCTGCTCTTCCCCACTTTATCCTGTTGCAAATCATGCCTTGACAACCCTGGTCTACCTCTTCTATTCCTGCCTATGTGCTTCTGAATAGAGTGGAGAGAAAATAATGAAGCCATGCAGATTGGGCCCACTATGGATGAGTTACTCTGTCTCAACTGGGTGTCACTTGCAGCCAGGCAATCCTACTGCTTCCTGACTGATTCCTGATCCTGAGCTCTGCAACTACTGTGCCAGTCCTGTTCTCAAGCCATCAATAGCATCCCTTCTTTCTACCTTCTCAGCTCCAAGAACTTTCTCCATTCCCTTTCTCATTTTATAAACCTTGCTATCATCCTCCACCATTTCCTTCGTTACTCCAGTCCCAAGAGGTGCCCAGGATTAAGACAGTAAGGATTTTTATGATACAGGAAAGAGCTTGGATGCTTAGTCAGAGGAACTGGGTTTGAATCCCAGCTCTACCATTTGCTGGTTTGTATGACCTTGGGCAAGTCACTTGACTTCTGGGTCTCAGTTTCCCCATCTGTAAAATGAGGGAGTTGGTCTGAATAAGCTCTGAGGTCCCTTTCCTTCCAACTCTAAATCTGTGATCCTAACAGCTTAAGCTAGGCCACATCTGGAGCATTATATTCCATTCTGGGCATTAAATTTTAGACATGCATAAGCTGGAGAGTGTCCCAAGGACGCTCCAGGCTGGAGATGGGGTTTGAGATCATGCCTTGTAATAATCGATAGGGAAAAGTGCTGATGTTAGGTCTGCATGAGAGAAGATGCAGCAGGCACCTGGTTTAACTCTCAGCGTTTGAAGGGCTGTCAGGTGGGAAAAGGACGAGCCTGTTCTGTATGACTCCAGAGCAATGGGTGGGTGGGGAGTCAGTAGGCTTCGGTCAGGGAAGACTTACTAATTAGAGCTGTCCAGAAGGGTAATGGGCGGCTTCCGAAGCCGTGAGGAGTGAGTCCCCTTCTGTGGAGGTTTTGAATCGAAAGGGGGATGACCTCTTCTGGGGTTCATGGCACACCTTTCTTATTATTTATTTTATTTCCCCCCAGTGAATTGATTCCGGTGAATCTATTTTCTCTCACTGCCACCTCCCCTGCACCCTCCCTCTTCTCCCCCCACACCCAGTCGCTTTCAATTCTATGATTCATCCTGCTGGGTTTAAGACCAATACTCTTCTCCCCACCAGCTCCCTCTCCTGGACGCACAGGGGTCTTGCAGATGCCTAGATTGGCAATAAAGAGGAACCACCAGGCTTGGGACATAAGACTACTTTCCAGCTGTGTTTTCCATCTCTTGCCTTATTACACCAGTGTCCAGGGGCTGTTCCTTGCCCTCTGGCGCCCCCTGCTGGAGGCCAAACTCAGGACAGACCTGATGGTTGTACGTGGAGGGGGACTGAGCTCTGGTTAGCTCCCTTGGCAGGGGCAGGAGGGCTGGGGGCCAGGCAAGTGACTACTCTCGCTTGATTGACAGTCCCCTTGGAACCCGTGCTCTGCAACCGTAGTGGGTCCCTCTGTAAGGAGCCCTCATCATCTTCCACCTCTGAAACACAGTTCAACTCTTCTCCCCAACACTCCCCACAAGTCAAATCCTCCTCCCCTCTCCACCGTTGTCCAAGTCTTCTCCTGCCCGTCTCTCCATCCCCCTAGGCACAGTCCAAATTCCCCTCCCTACCCCCAACACCATCCCTTATACCCTCCCTCTACCATTCAGCAGTACAATCATATTCCCCTCCTTTCCCCACTGTCAGTCAATCAACCAACAGTTATTAAGCTACTACTGGTCACGAGAGAGTTGGAAGGGAGAAAGGTGTACGAAGACTGGAAAAGTAGGAAGGGGCCAGGTTATGTAGGGCTTTAAAAGCCAAAATGGATTTTATTGGGAGTAATAAGGAGCCAATGAATAGAAAGATATGGCCAGACCTACCTCAGTTCTCACCTCCCCTCTCCCTTATCTATTCCAATACAGTATACCCACAACCCTTAATTCCAAACACCCTCCTCAATTTATTTTTTCTTCTTTTTTTTCCTAATAGGGTAAAGTGTCTTGCCCAGGGTCACACAGCTAGTAAGTGTCTGAGGCCAGATTTGAACTCAGGTCCTCCTGACTCCAGGGCTGGTGCTCTATCCACTGCGCCACCTAGCTGCTCCTTCAATTTATCAATCAAACAATTAACATATTTATTAAGCACTCACTATGTGCCAGGAACTGTGTTAGACGGCTGGGGATACAAAAAAAGGCAAAAGATAGTTCCTGCCCTCAAGGAGCTTCCAGTCTAATGGGGAAGACAACATGCAAACAGGTATGTGCAAACTAAGTGTAGACTGGATAAATTGGAGAAAACCAGTAGGAAGAAGTCCCCAGCATTGCTGGGGATTAGGAAAAGCTTCTTGTAGAGGTGAGGTTTTATTTTATTTCGATGAGGTAGCTGGGGTTAAGTGACCTGCCCAGGATTACACAGCTGTACGTAAGCATCAAAGGGCAGATTTGAACTCAGGTCCTCCTGACTCCAAGGCTAGAGTCCTATCCACTGTGCCACCTAGCTGCCCCTAGAGCTGAGATTT